AGATGCACTGCTGTTCCTCCCCTCCCCCCCTCCCCCCCCCTTTCTCCTGTAGGAACATGGGAAGATACACTGCTGTTGTTTTTTTCTTAGGGGGCTGGCCTCATGGGTGCAGCAGCTTAGGTTGTAGATCTTTTTTTTTTTTTTTTTGTTATGTGGCCTTTTTGTGAGAGGTGTTGTTGCCCTTGGCTCCAGCACTCGCCAGATGCGCAAAATAAGAACAAATCTCCAGTCAGAACATGGGAAGATATATTGCTGTTTTTTTCTTTTGGGGTGATCTCGTGGGCGCAGTGGCTTAGGGCAGACTCACATTCTGGCGTATCATTTTTATTTGTCTCCTTTTTGGTACCCCAACTTGGGCTTGGCTCGAGCACTGGCTGAATGTTCAAAATACGAATGAACCTTCCCTTGGAAGATACACAGCTGTTGTTTTTTCTTTGTTGGGGTGGCCTCCTCGGTGCAGAGGGGCTTTGGGCGTACTCCCGCTACCAGTTTCTTTGCTTTTTCCCAATGCTTTTTTTTTTTCTTTTTTCTTTTTTCTGGGTGGTGTTTTGCGTGGGCCTCCTCACCCTCCCTCCCTCCTCTGCCTCGTCTTCTTCGCCACACAAAAGTGAAAATGAGTAAACGGTCTTCACCTTCCGTTCCAGCGCATTTTCAACCCTTTGAAAACTTATCACTCAAAGCTTTAGATACAGCACAACGTATTCGCAAGGTGCCGTGTTATAAAAAAATGAAAAAATGCTTTGAAGGAATTGTTACAAACGATATTCCAGACTGCTTGGTGATAATAAATGCAAATCAGACTTCCATGGATAGCAGGTCCAGCATACAGGGCGGTACCGGTGCCAAGCGACATATTTCCCTGCCGGTTCCTGCCACCTCCATGCTAGGCAAAACTCAGCACACAGGCGGTTAAAAAAACAGGCCTGCGTGTGCGAGTGATTAAACCACCAGTACCTCCTCGTTTTTAGGCTATTAATGCGGTGGCTGTATCGGTGCGCCGCACAGGTCCATATCATACTTGCAAGGGGTCGCCGTCCGCGCAGTTCCGCACGTGCGGCAGACCGCCGGACCGGACCCGCACGGTGCACGAATGTGGGCCCGGCGACCAGTTACCCCCCCCCCCCCCCCCCCCCAGGTCCGGTCTGGTCCGGTCCGGGTCCGTCCGGTCTGGGGGGAGGGTGCCGCACGCGGCAAAGCGCACCAAACCGGACGCTCATTCGGTCCGTCCACTCGGAAGTATGGTCCATATGAATTTGCCTCAAGAGCCTCCCAAGAGGAGGCCTAAGACCCCCTGGGGTACTGGTGGTTTAAACTAAGACATTGTCATTTCCATCCTTAGGGAAGAAGGAGGGTGCTCCTTTCTCAACCTTTCTCCAACCCCCTCCTCCTGATCCATCCCACCTTTTTTCCCAAACATAAAACATCCTAATTATGACCGCTGATCCATCCCATCTTTCCCCGAACATAACACACCCTAATTATGACCGTATCTCACGCGGGATTATACCTCATATACATTCATGACCAGCCTTGCTGTGCTTGGAGGAAGACGGTAGTCTCCATTCCATTCTTTGTGTTCGACTATCCTCCCCTGCTTAATTCATAGCCTTCGACACTTCTCCATTGCCTCCAACCCTGCATCCATGAATTCCACACAGGTTTCCGCTCCTTTTGGTAATTGACGAAGAGGCATTCGGTGTGAGACAAGGTAGTACCATCAATCCTTCTAGAGCATCTGAAACACTCGGGGTACGGCTTACATCAGACCCAAATCGAGTACTACCATGTAATAAGTTGGGGCAAGGTGCGCTTCATTTCTACGACAATCACATAAAGTTGGGGCAAAGTGCGCTTCAAGTTCATTTCTACGACAATCAAATAAGTTGGGCCAAGGTGCGCTTCATTTCTACGACAATCAAATAAGTTGGGGCAAGGTGCGCTTCATTTCTACGACAATCAAAATCAAACCAGTGTAGAGGTGGTTGACAATGACAATGATTCTTTTCTTCCTGTTTACCATGTGCATAGTACATTCGCAGGGGCGGCCAAATCTTTCCTGGATTGTCCAAACTGCAGCAGAGATGTTCAAAAGCACCCCCCATCTCTTCTCCTCTACTTCATTTACTCCTCCATATTTTGCACCAAAAAGAGGTTGTCGTCTCCATTAAATTTGATCAACTGTGTATATGAGCTTTGCTTTGGTCAAGAGAGAAGATTTGGTCAAAGACTATACTAATGTCATGGAGAGTCCGGTCCTCCTTGTCTCTCTCTCTCTCTCTCTCCTCTCTTCCTCCATCTTCACAAAAAAGATTTCTGTCAGCCATAAAGAGAAGGGAACTGGACTATCATTCCGTTTAGTACCCGCTCCATCAACTCTCATTATTCTCTCTCCATCCACTTAGTACTCCTCTATCTACACTGGCAACCTTCTAATAAAGATCCCCCCACCCTAAACCCCTTTTTTCTTTCCCTGAAACGTAAGTCCCAAGGGATCTGCTTTTTGCACTGCTACCTACATCCCCCTCCCTAACCCCTTTCTTTCCCTGACACATAAGTCCCCAGGAATCTGGTTCTTGCGCTGCTTCTACTCAGCTGCTTATTGATAGGCACTGGGCATATCCTCGTAATCCTTCACTCCCTCGAACGGTTCTTCATGCTGGCCCAAACTCTTTTCTCTTTGTCATGGTAGTAGATTCATCCCTTTTTGGCATTGTGCAAGAATGTAGTGTTACTTCGGCAAGAAATTTATATTCAACTTGATCCTCAGCTGCTGATAGGATGGGTATGAGCTCTGCACTGTTCACCACAAAGTTATGGGAGAGACCTGGCTGCAGCTCCAGACGTCAACCTCGGCATCTTGCTGATTTACAGTCTTTTGTAAACATTGTCACAAACAAACATATTAACTCAGACCGATAAAAAAAAAAAAAAAAAAAAAAAAAAAAAAAAAAAAAAAAAACCCTGCTAAATTGCTAATCAGTCTCAAGGAAGAGAATATCATCATCATAGATTTTATCAATAGAACCGTACTTTGGATGGGCTGGCGAGCCAGGCAGAGAGAAATTATAGTCATAGACTTTGTCAAAAGAACCAAACCGTAATTTGCATGGTCTGAAGAGGCAGGCAGAGAGAAATAGGGAAGGAAATAACCTCTCTCCATCGGAAAGGAGTCCTGGTGGGAAGCCAGAGAGGTCATGGAGGCTGAAATAAGGGCAGTTAGCAACTTAGCGCAGGTTGGAAAAGGCCTTCAACGCGAGTGGATAAAAGTGCCTGAACCTGGACAAAGATTTAGAATGGATGCAGAATCTCTTTTGAGGAAGAGTGGTTATTAAACAGCGAAAACAGCTCACCGATGAGAGGAAGAGCGCCGAAGTTAATGGATTGCTGTTGAGCGGGCCAGGGTACCCAGGAAGGAAACCAGGGTTCCCCCCCAAGAGTATGTGGATGGTGAACAACAAAGAGAGGATGCTTAGAGACAGATACTGGAAAAGGGAAGACGGGGAGAGACAGATACTGGAAAAGGGAAGACGGGGAGAGTAACTAGAAGGAAAAAAATGTGGAAAAAAAAAAAAAAAAAAAAAAAAAAAAAAAAAAAGCAGAAGAAGAATGTGGATGCATCAAAATCAGAGTGGGCTCGAGCTCAGCAGGAGGCAGCATGGGGCAGAGCGCGAAGCACAGTTTTGAACACAGGAAGGATAAAAAATTAGAAAATGACCAACCAGGGGAATCTTAGGTAGGTGCGCTTGCAGTTTCAGGCAGCCTTAAGTAAGGCTATCTTTTTTTTGTTCTGGTTAAACCACCAGTATATACTTCCTAGAGTCGTGCCCGTTAACGCGCCGCCACGATCTTAGGAAACGTGCTGGCCACTACAGGAGCGTCCAAATTCATCCGACTAGTAACATTTCTACTCTATTTTTTTTCCCTCAACGGCCGATAGCTGGGCCGAGTACTCGTGGTTTAATATCAAATTCATGATGTTAGCAAAGGCAGGATGAATAGCGCGGGAAGGGGCTTCAACAAGGAGGGCCCACCAACTCTGTCCGGAGGTTCCCCTGGCCTGGACAGGGGTTAGCATTAGACAGATATCACTGTGATGTGGCTTGCTCCCCTTGCTCATGAAAATGGCACCGGAATATCAGTCAGACTGATGCTCCGCATAATAGAATAGGCCAACCACTAAGGTCTGTTTGCTTATCAGAAAAAAAGAACGAGACTCGGAGACTGATACCCCGGTCCGGGAACTGAAGAACGCTTACTTACACCCTGAAAGCATCCTCCTCTCCTCTGACAGCCGCATTCGCCCCCATATGCAGCCCAGTACTTTTCCTGTGGCAACCAACTCCACGTGCTATTGTTGCGAGGCTTCCTTTCCCCAATGTCGCCAGCAGGATATCAGTTTAAGTTTGTCTCAATGCTTCCCCAATCTGCATGGGCAGGGTATTGGTTAAGAGTACCAACTATGGGTTGACCATCGGGCTATGGGTTTGAGTCTAACTATGTACAACTCCAGCAACACGCCCTATGGTTATGGGTTTGGGTCTAACTATGTACAACCCTACCTACGCCTGCATGGAAGGACAGAAGTTCAGAGAATTAAATAGCGATAATGATTGCTTAAAACTTAAAAGTTAAAACCATTCGATGTCTTTGCTTTGGTAGAGGACAGCGAAGTACAGATCATCTGAAGGAAGAAAGAGAACAGGCAAACTCGTAACCGAGACTTCCTCTAATGGAATGCTGTAACTGCAAAGCAAGTCGCTTGCATTATCCGCATGAGGGAAATAACGCTTGGCCCGGTCTTGAAAACCGGCTTGTCCTCAGGAGGTTTCAGGATGTCTCGCGTGAGATGGTGAGAGAGACGGCTTCTCTTCAAATTGATAGGACACCCTGATGATCGTCGCCCTATGCTGCAGTGCTCTGCTCTTTCTCTGCAGCTTGTGCATGTACAATTGTGTGCTTGGTATTAGCTGCAGGCCGTTGAACTCCATTCAGCATATGAGGGCGTAAATTTCAAAACCTCGTGAGACATGCTTCTAACACTTTCGACATAACACCCTTACGCCACACAAGGCCAACCCATCAGAAAGGAGGCTGCTGATTGTCCCATATGATGATCACGAAGATAACAAGAGTCAGAGCAAACAGCCTGGCCAGTGTTGCATTTGCTGATTCCCATGCCGTCAGAACTGAAACCGCTCCATTGGGATCAACGAAACCCGTATTGCCACCAGCAGCTGTACACGCAGTCAGCCACACACACACACCGCTTGTGAGTACATGTTCATCTATATACATATACAT